ACAAGAGGATTGAAAATCATTTTGGAAGCATGAGAATGGATAAGTAGAACTCCCAAATACTTGCCCAAGTCTGCAGTGAGACCAATGCCAATGATATGACTAAGCTGAGTTGCTCTATTATGCTTTTCTTAGAGCAAAAAATTTTTGATTTGGCAAGATTAACTTTATGGCTCGAGACACTGCAAAAAGAACTTATAGTTTCCTTAATGATCTCCATCTGCTCTAAAGAAGCTTCTGCAAACAAGAATAAGTCATCTACAAAGAAGAGGTGGAAAATAAAAGGGCCTTCGGAAGTAATCCTCAAAGGTTTCCATTTTCCTTCAGCCCATTGTGCCTTTATTAAATGCCCAAGTCTTTCCATACACAACACAAAGATGTAAGGGCTAAGTGGATCACCTTGTCTAAGACCTCTGGAAGGAAAGAATTCTTGAGTTGTATCACCATTCCACATTACTTTCATAGAAGCCGAATTTATGCAATGTATGATGATCGCCACGAAATTGCTATCAAAACCAAGACCGTGAAGAGTATCGTCAATAAAACCCCAGTGTAACCTGTCATACGCTTTTTCCATATCAATTTTAATAGCCATATAGCTCTTGCATGTACGCTTGTTTTTCATGGTATGAATTGCTTCCTGTGCAATAATCACGTTATCGCTCCCTTGCCTCCCTTCTAAAAACTTGCATTGTTCCATTCCAATAAGAGAATTGAGAAGAGGTCGGATCCTGTTAGCAATGATCTTAGTGATAATCTTGAAACTTACATTGCATAAAGAGATAGGTCTCAATTCCTTTAAAGAGGTAGGGTGATCAACTTTAGGAAGGAGAACTATATTAGTTTGGTTCAAGCTTTTCACTTTCACAGGGTCGTGGAACACTTCTTTTACCAATTTATAGATTTTTCCACCAATAATATTCTAATGAGATTAGAAGAAATGGGCTTGCAATCCATCTGGTCCTGGTGCTTTGAATACCCCCATAGAGAATGCTGCATTTTTAATTTCCACATAATCTACTTCCTTGGATAAATGGAGAAAATTATTAGTCTCAATAGCTGGAAAACAAAAAGGCCAATTATAGCAAGGGAGAACTTCGGGATCCTTTGTATAGAGATCTTTGAAGAAATTGCTTGCCATAGTCTTCAATCTCTTAGGGTCATCAACCCATTCATCGTTATCATCTTTGAGTACTTCAATCCTCTTCTTCTTTATCCTCAAGACAGCAGAAGCATGGAAATATTTTGTTTTTTTATCACCCCATTTAAGCCATTCACATCTTGCTTTTTGAAACCATATGAGCTCCTCTTGTGAATTAAGCTTGAGATAGTCTTCCTAAAGCTTTCTCTTAAGTCTATAAAGCCCATTAGCCTAATTATTAATTCTAGCTCAATCAATACCTTCGAGCCTTCTAATAACTTGCCTTTTTTGTGAGGGATGCTACCAACCTTTTGCTTGTTCCAACATTGAGCAGAATTAGAAAAGGAAATTAGACCATCTGTCCATTCCTTATCCTGCCAGGCACTAGCAACAACATCTTTAAAATCTTCTTCTAAATTCTATGCTGCTTGATATTTAAAAAATTTGCTGTCTGAGGAAGTAGGAGTAAATGATTCAGTGGAGACAACTTGAACACGATGATCTGATTTATACCTCAAACGATGAAGATTTTTGGAATTTGGGAATGCAAGTAGCTAATTGATGTTCATAAAAGCCCAATCAAGTTTAATTTTTAGACCTATTCTTTCCCAGGTGAAATTATTCCCTACAATAAGAAGCTCAATTAGGCCAGAGTTTTGGATACAGCAATTGAAATGTTCCAAGGCCAGAGCGATAGGTTCCCCTCCCCCAATCTTATCTCCATGAGACATATAAGAATTAAAATTTCCAAGGACTATCCATGCATCATTCATTATGGCACTGATTTTTTCAAGTAAAACCCAAAGGGGACCTCTTTTGATATAAGTAGTTTCTGCGTAAACAAAAGTAGCATACATAGTCTCAGAATGATCAGCTTTGGTGATTTTGCAGTGAATAAGTTGAGAATTTGAGCACAAGTAATCAACTGAAAATTCATAATTATTCTAAAGAATCCAAATCCCTCCTGCATAACCAGAATCTTCAACCCGAATCCAGTTATGAAAGCCAAATTTCTTTATCATAAAGTTAGCTTTAGACCCACTAATACAAGTCTCCAACAGACATAAGATATCAATCTTATTTTTATTTACAATATCTCTAACCATACCTGGAAAAGCCTTATTGCCTGTCCCTCGACAATTCCAAGAAGAAATTATCATTAAAACAATATATTGGAAGAGAGTAGTTCCAAAGGAGCACTTACTCTACGCAAGAAGCGTCTTGATCCTATATGGGTTCTTCCACAAGAATATCATCACTATCCTCAGGATGATGGCTCGAAACCTTCTTATTTGACTGAACAGGAACTAGCATCAAGTTGCAATCAGGAGGCTTTGGGTTTGGTTCTCCCTCATGCAAAGGTTCGTGTGATGTAGAGGGACGAGCTGAATCTCCAGAAGATCATAGTGAGTTTGAAGCTTGCGTCAAGTTTAGAGTTTTTTCACCCAAGTCTGAATAGTTAACATGGCCCAACTTATCTAATTGTCCTTGCACCACCACATAGGTACGTTGCCTTCCAGTTTTTGTTTCACATTTTGCAGACTAGCCCAGGTTGACAAGCCCAACATTAACATTATTGTTTGGTCCAGATCCATAGAGCCCTTTATCTATTTTCATATGGAAATTAACCTCTTTATTTTCTTTTCCTTTTGGTCTATACATAGACTTTTTGACAGGTGTTTTTCCTTTCCTCGAGATATACGAATGTTCAGGAGTCATTGTCAGTGCTTTCTTCTTTAAGCTTGATACCAACTCTTTGCCTATTGATTCAGAATCTGCAGCATCTACTTTATGGTTAAGTTTGACTTCTTCCTCTATTTCCTCTTCCTCCTCATAGTCAACTAATGCGGCAAATTGATACTGTGTAATGCGGCTATCTTCTTTCTTCAAAGTTCGGCTGTTGCGTGCTGATTCACCTATGTATTCTCTTGTCTTGTCAAACCTTGAGAACTGAAATCGCTTGGGTCGTGGTGGCAGCATCCAGGTTCCAAATATTTCATCTTCTGTCGGGATTCTTTTTTCCGGTGACTTCTCCAGGGAGCAGTGAAGGTGTTGTGACTGGTTACCATCCCCTGTACCTTGTGAATTATTATATCTCCATGGGCAGACTTCCTTTCTGTGGCCATATCTACCGCAAGAAAAACAAATTAAATTTAGTCCTTCATACTCTACATGAAACACTTCACCAGCTGTGATTACAAAAGGAATCAACTTTTTTTGCAGATCAAGTTCAACGCAGATTCGTGCATAACATCCCTGTTCTACTTTGGAAGCTTTAGCTATGAAATCTTCAAGAGTGTTTAGATCAACCTTGATGGTCCTTTCGATTCGATCCCCTAACCTGGATATAAAATACCCATTGTAATAGTGAACAGGCATATTTGGAACACGTACCCACACCGCAACACGTCCCAGAGAATTTTGAAAAGGGTTGAAGTAAGGAGTCCATCTCTGGATGAGAATACAATGCTGCTGCACCACCCAGGGTCCACCGTATAGTACTTTCTTGTATTGTTCTGTCCAACCTTCAGTCTCTTTAAATCTCACCGTGAAATAATTGTTTGGAAGATCGATGAGCTCAAAGTCAGAAATATTCCATAGTTTACTCAGCAAGATTTTTAACTGATAGACATTATACCTCTTCCCAAGTATGGTAATAATCAAGGCGATATTCCAAGGTTGGCACCATTCATTATATTCTTCTTAGGTGATTGGCACTTCTGGGTATTTCTCCATAAGTTTCTTCACCTCCTCTGATGGTTCCAGAAGCGGCCAGTAGATTCCATCCTCTTTTGTGAAAACGTCATCTTCATCCACATCCATTCCAGTGTTATTATTAGCTATGCCATTGAAACCCATTAAAGATTCATTGTATGAAGGTATTTTCCTTGCTGTAGTGGTTTCTTATCTAGCTTCTGGAACAGTTCTTGATGGATTATCAACCACGTTGGCAGTCATCTCTGGAGACGCCTCTGGTTCTTCCATAGTGTCATCCATAATCAGATTTTCATTTTCGTCCGGTGAGCCCTTCTTTTTCTTTGATTGCCTTTTGTCTTTTTCTTCCGTATCTGGAGGCTGATCCGGTGGTATTTTCTGGTTACCTGAATCATCCATGCGAAAACTTTTCCTGGCACAGAAACCAAGAGAGAGAAAATTCAACTCACGTATTCGCTTGATGGGCTCTCTTCCATTATTGGTCATGGATAATTTCAAATCGTTGATATAATTATTATTATTATTATTATTTGAAAAGATGAAAATAAAATCACTTCATGTAAATGATAATTTAATTTTTTAAAATATTATAATATTAATAACATTTTTAAAAATTTCTTTATCAATAATTTTTAAGAAAAAAATATTTTATTTTATTGATAAATTAAGATTTTTTATTTAATTTTTGTAATTTTTTATGAAAAAGTTGTGATTTTTGAACAAAAATTATGAATAAAGTTTATTATTTTGAGAAATTATTTTTTAATAATAAAAAACATACTGAACAAAGTATAATTTCTAGTTCAATTTTCACGATTAAAAAAAAAAAAATTATTTTTTAAATAAAAATAGTGAGTGAATTTGTTTTTCAATCACAAAAATTATATTTAATAAGTTATAATTTTTTATTTAACTCTTGCTATTTATAAAAAAATTATAATTTCTTAAATAAAAATTATAATTCAATCTTATTATTTTTAATAAGGATAATATAATTATAAATAAAGAGACCCTTAAAATTTTTAATAGTATTACAACGTTTTAAAAAATGAAATTATTAATTACATAATTTAAAAATATTTTATTATTATTTCCCTTTATAATTAATCTGAATTGATGGTGATAAATAGCCGGAAGCGCTTGGCCCGTTCACTCACCAACTCATTTCAGCCAACAATCTCCATATCGATCACGTTTCTGTGTCGGTCATCTTCATTGCTCCTTTGCTCACTGTAGCGCTCATGGCTGCGGCTTCTATTCTGGCCATACCCTCTCACATGAAAGCTTGGGTCTATTCTGAGTATGGCAACTCATCTGAAGTTCTCCATTTGGACTCGAATTTGCTTTACCTCAACTCAGCCATGATCAGGTTCTCCTCAAAGTCTCCGCCGCTTCCCTCAATCCCATTGACTACAAGAGGATGGGTGGCTTCTTCAAGGACACCGACTCTCCTTTACCTGTAAGCCTTTGCCTTTTATTCCCCTCTTCCTTTATTATTCATCGCACTTTCATCAAATTCTCACTTCTTTACTGCTTCTCTGACCGACTATGAGTTTGTTAATTATTCCTTCAGTCCCTATATATTAAGTGTTTTTAATCGATTCATATACTAATAAAAGTTTGTTATTTAGTAAAATCACACTCATTTTCCAGTTTTGCTTCTAAATCATGGTGATAGTGGGTGCGTCTTCAATTTTTTAAGGAAAAGACAAGAGTGTCTAATTATTTTAAAATATCCTAACATCCCTTATATCATGCTAGCTTGATCATCATTTGCTTAGAGTGAATGAAGGATCAAATAAAATAATATAGTGTGTCGATCTATTCTATGTTAATTATTGATTTATTTACGAGGAAATTAAATCCAAGTTTGAGCGGGGGTTAGCTGAGGTTTTCCTCCATGGTTCCTCCACTACAAATCTGAATTATTCACTTTTAAAAAAATATCAAATCTACATCATCAAATTCAATTTAACAGTCCAGATCTACAATACATCTTTCCTTGTAAAGGAGGAAATCTAACTCTGAGAAGTTTGGGGGTGGGAGAGAATATATCAAAACAATGTCTTCATCCATATGTTTATTTATTATTCTACATTGATTTGGCTTTTTTCTTGTTGTGGGCGTGATGTGTGTAGACTGTTCCTGGATATGATGTTGCTGGTGTAGTGGTGAAAGTAGGAAGTGCAGTGAAGAAATTTAAGATTGGGGATGAAGTGTATGGTGACCTTAATGAGAAAGCCTTGGATCACCCAATGGTGGTTGGGTCTCTGGCAGAGTACACTGCTGTAGAAGAGAAACTACTAGCCCATAAACCTCCAAATCTGAGCTTTGTTGAGGCTGCTAGCATTCCTTTAGCTCTGGAGACTGCTTATGAAGGGCTCGAGCGTGCCGGCTTTTCAGATGGAAAATCCATCCTTGTTCTGGGTGGTGCTGGTGGAGTTGGAACCTTTGTTATCCAGGTACCGTTTGATATGTCAACACGTTAAACAAAATGGTGTAGTGCATAATAATTGAAATATTTATATAATTGTTACTTTAATGTAATGTTATAAATGAGAACCAAATTTTTATGCAATGCAGCTTGCCAAACATGTTTATGGCGCATCGAAAATAGCAGCAACTTCTAGCACTAAAAAATTGGAATTGTTGAGGAACTTGGGTGCTGATTTACCTATTGACTATACAAAGGAGAAATATGAGGATCTGGCAGAAAAGTTTGATGTAGTGTTTGATGCAGTAGGTGGGATTTTGAGCTAATAAATATGTTTGATTTGTGAAGACGATCGATCATTAATATTATAAACATAATAAGACTAAGTTTTTTTTTTTTTTTAATGACAAACAGGAGAGACTGAACGGGCATTCAAGGCTATTAAAGAAGGAGGCAAAGTGGTATCAATAGTACCGCTTGCTGGAATTCCACCGACAATTATGTTCATACTAACATCAGATGGAGCTAGTTTAGAAAAGTTAAGACCTTACATTGAGAACGGCAAGGTGAAGCCAATACTGGATCCGAAGAGTCCATTTCCATTTTCTCAGACGACGGAAGCATTTGCCCACCTGGAATCTAATAGAGCCACTGGAAAAATAGTAGTCTACCCTATTCCATGAACACAAGTTTATTGCTTTCCAGATTGTGGATTGTTTTGGTGCTTACCTCGTTCAAGGGAGACTATACCGATTGGTAATAAATAAATATCTTCATGATGTGGTTGCTGTGTGGTTCGTTACTTGGTATCTTTATGTGTGCTTCATGGTTGAAACTTTGTATCTGTATGAGCGGTTTTATCTTGGTATGGTATTGTTACATTAGATATTGATGTGATCTATCAACTCTCTTCATGTGATTACTAAGTGAATGGGACATCTTTAATGGAATAATAACTGAGTTTGGCAAGGTTATGTGATTTTGTCACTTTGTATTGGTGTATGATTTGTGTAGTCAAAATTTGAAAAGAACGTATCTTTGTGTGTGACACTCACCATACATAGGTCACCAAACTCGAAGTAGAATTATTGTTGTCATTAAAAAAAAAAACAAGAAGAAGAAGAAGAAATGGATCAAAGTCTCATTTATTCAAATATCTTGTACTAATGTATTGTGGCATTGATCATATTATAAACAAATACCACTTGTGAATTCACGAACAAAAATATTCCTCTTCCTAAGAGAAAAAATATGACAACGAAGACATTGTTGAATTTGTCTCTGTATCTCACTTTCCCTTACCTCAGCTCAAAGATGACCAAGTTCTCATTGAGGTAATCTCGTTGACTGCTTGAGAATGGCTGGCTATTTCAAGGACTCTGACTCTCCTTTACCAGTTTGGTATAATAATTCTTCCCTTGTTTCTTTTATTCCAATTGATCTACACTTGTACGTTGATTTTCAGAGCAATACCCCTTTGAATTTGTTGCTCATGAGTTTGATAATCAGCTCAATTGTTATGTAGATATAGGAAAATAATGAAGTTGCATGATTGCGTGAATAAATCTGCTCCTTCTCTTTAAATCTTCTATCGTGTGTAATAGGGATGATTTTTTCTTTTATTATTATTTTGCTTTTTGTAGGAAAGTAATATGCTTAAGAAGTGAAATAATTTCTTTAATAAATGAAGTAAAAAAAATTAACACCTAGTAATTTTAGGTAACAAGTGAAGGCTGTTTTAGTTTTTTTATAATTAAAATTTTTTTTACTTCCCTCTGAACTAAACATTTTAATTTTTTGTTGAGACCTACTAAAAATTAAATCACATCTCTAATTTTTATTTAAAATCTTTGTTCCGTAAATCAAGAAAATTATGTAGTGCTGAACCAGCTTTTGTCAGTGGATATATGCTGCACATCATGTCAACATATGTTTTCTGATATGATATGCAGTTAAATATTAAAATATAAGTAATTCTATTTGATTTTACGTATTTGATTTCTACTGCCTTAGTTTATAAATTAAAGACCGTAATGATAATTAAGCTTCCCATTCATTGTGCGAGTGAGTTTGAAAGGGCAGGGCCAATTCAAGTTGACAATTATGCACGCGGAACCTAGCGCAGCCAGAGACTGCAAGAGAATTAACAACAGTACAGAGAGCCCCTAAAGGTAGATGGTTCCCTGGTTAGTGGAACATAATATTTAAAAAAAAAAAATGTTATCCATCCCCAAGAAACTTAGGTAACACTGGGTTCAGCGTCAACTTAACGTGGCATACAGGAAACTAAGCTATTCACATCATCATTTTGTGAAAAACATGGAGCTGTGTACTTAGACCTTCAATATTTATATATCCATTGATTTAAATCTCATTTTCACAATTGCTTAATCATTATCTGTGGTTTTTTTTTTTAATCAAATACTCATCCAGGTTATATAATTACAATGCAGAAATATACTCTCTCCCCATTTCTATTATAAGATAAACTGTCACATATAATTCATTATATTTGATCACTAAAATTATGAAATTAAAAAAATATTTATCACATTTTCTTAACTGCCTTTCATAAATTAGACTTTATTTTTCTAAAACAAACTTGATTCTTTCACGTGTTAAAGATTGGTTAGAATAATATTTAATATCAAACATCATTATTTTGTTTAATGTTAAGAATAGGGAGATACAAATTGAAAATGACATCACATCTTATTCGTTAGATATAAATTAATTTTTTTTAAATATTTTATCGACATATTGTTTATTTTTTAAACATAATTTGTGCACCACTCATTGCTTTTCAATTTCATCGTTCATAAATCATAAGTTTAGCTAGTGGACGAGATGACGATGCATTGACACCAATTTATAAATGCTTATACGGAACTTTTTATGAAATATGAAAGAACTTATTATTCTTATCCAAAAAAAAAAAAACAGTTATGATATTCTAATAGTGTGTTTGAATTAATGAAGGCTTGATTTTGAACCAAATTCCTTATTTAGATATATAAAAATTTATAAACTTAAAATTATTTTAAATTTAAATTCATTTCAAATTATAATTTCTTTATAATTTCAAATTTTCTATACACTTTAATCATTTAAAATTATAATTACTTCAAATATCTTATTCTCTTTGCATTTTTACTATTAATATCTTTATAACTCTCACATCTTTTTTAATCACTTGTCGATTAAAAAATAAAAATAAACTCTTTATTTTTTATTTTTTATTTTTGCTTCAAATTTTAATTTATCTCTCATTTCATTTAAGAATAAATAAAAAATTTAAATACATAACTCAAATCTAAATCCATCATTGCAAACGTTACGCATATCTTGAAAATTTCCTAAACAGTGAATCAAACAGACATGCCAATTTTGCATTAATTCTACAAATCACCACATGGCCTGCGTCTCTCTTCCCCCACCATGGGAATATCACAGTCTTGGTTTTGTCATGGAAGAATTTCAAATGAGTAATAAGAATGTGACTTAATTATTAATAGATGCCAAAACATTTGAAATTTCAATCCATTTTAGGAGGATAAAAGTAAAAATAATTTTACCAGTGAAAAGACTAAAGTAATCTAAATTTGTTATGCAAAATCACTAATTCTTAATTTTTCAATATTACATGTAAATTACATTTATTTATCAGATAAGCAATAACATTAATAGTTAATTTGTTAACTTTATTTGTTAATTTATTAACATTAGTTGTAAATTACAAGACTTATCAGTAATTTACAATTGATGTTAGTAAATTACAAGATCTATCAATAATTTATAACTAATGTTAATAAATCAATAAGTTAGCAATTTAACAACTGATATTATTACTTATGATTGAACAACTCATGTTAAGTCTTATAATTATTGACATGTCATTTTAGTAAATTAACAAGTAATGTAAGAAAATTAATAATTAGTTATTCTATACAATAAGTGAAGGGTATTTTTGCTTTTTTATAGTTAAAATTATTTTTACTTTTATCTTTTTAAACTGAACTGAAATTTTATATTTTTTTGGGACCTACTAATAATGGAGTCATATTCCTGATTCTTATTTGAAATTCTTTCTTTTGTTTTCCTCGTGAACCATCATGGCAGCTTCATCGTTTCACACCAAAGCTTGGGTCTTTATCAGCTCCATTCAAGCGTGCCATTACCAGACCTCAAGGAAGATCAGGTCCTCATCAAGTCAGGGGATAAAGTGTACGGCGATATCATCGTGTGTTTGTCAAAGTTACTGGGGTCATTGGCGGTGGCCAAAGCAGCACCATGAGCCAGGGGTGATATAATTATATAAAATCTAAAATATAAAATAATGAAAAAGTAATTATATATATATAATAAATAATTGGCTTTGTAAAATAATATTAAAAAGAAAAATTAAAATGATATTTTTATTAAAATAATCTGAATTTAAATATAATGTAGTCAAAATTTAAAATCTCTTGAGTTTGAATGGAATATAAAAGATCCAAAAAAAAATTTGAACTCAAATATATTTTAATTTAGATATAGTGGATTCAAAATTATTGAAACAATGGAATAAATTTTTAAATATTTCATAGGCTCCTTGTAAATTTTCTGAAGTGGAGTGAGGATACTTGCCAACCCTCATCAGTACTATTACCCAATAATTTTACGATATCAGAGTATTAATGAAACCAGCTTCATTTCTGCCACGGTTAACCGTGCAAGTAAAAGATCAGGTCTCCGATATTCTACAATTTCTACCCTCATAGGATGGATCATCAAACATATTAATAGTAATTGGTTATCATTAGAAGCTCGACGGATATGTATATTTATACACACACTTCACTACTGTTATTAACTACTACTACTACTGTGGTCAGAATTGGTTAATTATGGTATCAGCTAGCTTAGCGTATGCTTAGTTTCAAAACCTTGAAAATATAGTGACTAACCTGATTTTTAAACTGTTTTTTGTTTTTTGTTTTTTTTTTTTTTGTTTCATGGTTTCCAATTTCTCTCTAGGTTTTGTGAATAAAATTTTCAAAAATTTCTATCCAAACAAGGAACTTTTCAAGAGGACTTTTGGAGAATATGATTTTTTATCCCCAAGTTTTTGTCATCTATTTTGATAGCGGAATAGCTCTGCTGGCCACGTGCATGTGTGTGGATGTTAAAGCATTTGAATGTTTGACATGCACAAACAGACTTTGAAGGATATGTTGACTTTGGTGGCCAGGGGAGAGGAAAAGATAGGAAACAAAATCATAATGTGACACATGGTTCATAACAGATTTTTTGTTGGAAAAAAATGAGGACAAGTAATTAATTAAAAAAATAATTTTTTAATTGTTTAATTTTATAGCTCACTCTTTCAATTATAATTTATTATGACTTAATTTTTTAACTTTTGACTTATTTATAATTAAATTTTTATTTTTTAATTTTTTTAAAAAATTATCCTTATCAAATAAGAGAAATAAAAGAAATATTTATATCTTATTTTAAAATATTCTCGTTTTATTTTTTGATATGGGATATTAGTTAACATAAAATAAAAATAAAAATTGAGGAACTAATTTATAAAAGAGTTAAAAGTTGAAAAATTAAATTATAAATAAATTAAAAGTTAAAAGATTGAGTTATAATAAATTATAATTGAATGATTAAGTTATAAGTTAGTTACAAGTTAAAAAATTAAAAAGTTAATTTTTCCTCCATTATATTACGTTCATACACATAAAAAGTCACCAAGTTATGTCCCACAAGTTAGTTTTGATGCAGACACGGCTTTGGAGGCTCATGTGAGTAACTATAATTAATTCTAAGTCAAACCCTCCCGTCACCTTCGGTAAATCAACAAAATTATATAGTAAATGTAATTTTTTTATTTTTCCTGCTTTTGCTTACCGTTTCTTTTTTATTCGTTAATATACTTACTTTTTTTACTAAAAAAATAAAATTATTTAGTCAACTTTTCTTA